GGCACCCGTCGGGAGCCGTACCGTGCCGTACCATGCCGTACCATGCAGTGGAAAAGCGTCATTAGTGTGTATAGTGTCCAGCACACCACAATAATTTCTATGCTTCTGTTTGTGTGTCTGCAGAGTTTTTTTGATGGCTGGGACATAAACGAAAAGAAGGACAAGACCAAGGGCCGACATGACACCCTTCTGGGTCGTAAGTGTTCTTCAAAGTAATGATTATAGCACAAATACTGGGTCCAACAGTCAATGAGTTACAAATAGAGCACAGCTATCACAGCCTACCTACTGTAGGTAGCTCATCGGGATTTGGAACAGAGCTTTATTCATTATTTATTATATTATTATTATTATTATTATTAATAATAATAATATTGTTATTGTTATCATCACTGACTAGCATTGCTCTTCATTTTTAATCCCTAACAGAAGACCGTCACCGTGTGAAAATGCATTCTCTCCTGGCCGATCCTAACTCAGACTATGTCAATGCAAACTACATTGATGTAAGTTTTTTCTGTTTTACACTCCTTTGTTCACACCTCGGGATGTTGCCTTCAAGTAAGAGGTGTTTCTCTCACTCTAGCTTTCAGTGAAGGTGTACACATTAACATGTTTATGTGGCTTATATGCTAATTCCTTTTCTCACCGAGAGATTTTATCCATTGATGACTTTGCTGTCTGGTTCCCTTTCATGGGAACTTCGAACTGCGTCCTCTAGGGCTCGCTATGGGGAACGCCTCGTCGTGACCCGTGTCTGAAGCATACATTGAAAAAACACCAACTTGTTGGCCGGCGACAGCCATGACATCACTACCGGTGCGACTATAGTATAAATAGGCGCCGGGAGCATACATCATTCTCTTCTTCGTCTTCATTGACTGTTTTGTTTGAAGCATGCATTTCTGTGGTAAGAGCGATCTCTATTATCTCATTATGGCGAGCACTAGCAAAGCATTTAAGGATGTGTGCATCCGTGTTGACGTTGTTTAACATCTGATGACACACACGATCTATGCGTTTTTTATTTGGGCAAAGAGCACGCGCGCGATGTCTCCGAGAAAACAGTCAGTGAAGACGAAGAAGAGAATGATGTGTGTTCCCTGCGCCTATTTATACTATAGTCGCACCGGTAGTGACGTCATGGCTGTCGCCGGCCAACGAATTGGTGTTTTTTCAATGTATGCTTCAGACACGGGTCACGACGAGGCGTCCCCCATAGCGACCCCTAGAGGACGCAGTTCGAAGTTCCCATGAAAGGGAACCATGGTTACATAAGTAACCTGAGACGTTTTGACACTTTCTCCACGAACCTTGTTTTTATTTCAGTATTTCAGCTGTTCGTTACGTTTTTCCCAGAAAGATTTTTTAGCACAAATCTTAGACACGTGACACTTTCCTGTCTAAAACGTAGATTCTGAACACTTTGCTCCTAATCCTAACCGTTTGATGGATAGCGGCTTTCAAACATACGTTCCTGTCCCACATAAGAAGCATCAGTTTTTTTTTTAACTATCTCTGTTGTAATCTCAGTAAAGCCATTTTTGTCGTCTTTTGGTGGGAAGGTTATCCCGTGGAATTGAGCAATCAAAACCTCTGCGGTGAGAAGGACTCTAAAGACTAACTTTTAGATGTTTTGTCAGTTTTTTGTACGGCTCTACAGTTTTCTTTTATATGTTTGAATAGCATTTATTTCTATTCAAGGCTGAAGTGTGTTAGGAGCTGTTGTTATGATCAGCGGTTTCAAAATGAACAGACCTGAATCACTCTTTCTACTTGGGCTGTGCTTGAGTGGCAGGTTTTGGGTGATGAGAAATGGGCTCTGATTATAGAGGTCTGATACTAAAACGCAAAGCCGTGTCACTTCACCTTTATGAAAACCAGATGTCTTGATTTTCTCTCCTCCTCAATGGTGATTCACACGCAAGAATGAAATCCCCATGTGATTAATGAAAATAGTGGATTGACTTTTTGGATTCTTGAATGAGAATCACTATTAAGGTTGTGATGCAAGTTAAACGGATTCACACACCAAAATAAGGCAATATTGGAAACAAGACAGCACAGTTTAAAGGTCTCTTTTCAATTGATTTTCTCTACTTCATGAATTTTAGCATGTTCACCAAACGATTGCTTCAAAAATGTTGTCAACCAATATTTAATGTACTGTTTTTGGCAAATATATGTTTTGAAAGCAAAAAATAAATAAATAAAAAAAATAATACTGACATTTACAGCAAACCATAAGAAAGATGCGCTTGGACTGTGTAAACAAATATACACGAGAATCTTCACGTAAGTTCAACTGCTAAGGACAAATTTGTTTACATTTGGACAAAAAAGGACAAAGGACAAATATGTTTTATATAATTTTATCTTGTAGAAAACAACAGACCAATGTCCAGCGTAATGAACTCAATATTTAAAAATAATACATTTATTTATACATCAATCACAATGACAAGATACCACAAGATATCACAGTCATTGTTGTGTTTGGCCACAGAAAACAGTTCACGTTTAATGACAAAGACAACATAGAATGTGGCTCTGATGTGGCAATGCATTGACCTCTGTTACGTGGGTCATTTACACAGAATTTGATGAAAGACGCCCTAACGGGTTAAAGATTTGTGCCTCTACGTTTCTACGTCATTAAGAATAGTTTTCAAATTTGACTGCATATTGAATTCAAAATTCAAAATGCAAGCTGCCTAAAATTCTCACCCTTAAGGTCATTGCACATCGAGTCCGAAATTTTCGCACTTTAAAAAATAAATACGACCTCACGTTATGTCAATCACGTTTACACACTGCCTCCGAAATATTCGTCCGTCAAAAAACAATTCGGATGGGGTTCGATTTTTTTCGTTTTTCGCATCCATAGCAAGCATTTTGAGAGGTGTTTTGACAGTTTAGAGCCACCGTACAAGCGAACGCCAAAATCCAGAATGGCGATTGTCAAGTTCATCCACTTCTTCTCGCAGCACAAGGCACTGTATATAGATCCTTGCACACTGAGTTCACAGAAATTGGTGGTCTTCTTTTTCATATGTGGCTCTAGCATCGCTAGCAAAGCATCAAACTGAGCCACTGACATCCTGAAGTAAACTTTGAATCGTCCCTGGATAATCCCGCTGCTCCTGAGGGGGAACTCTCCGTCCTCTCTATATCTCAGGATTGGATGGACCCAATATTTCCTCTCCTTTTCTCTTTTTAAGAAGCGAGAAGACAACAAAATCATCCTCACTGCTGGAAGACTCCATTTAATGCTGTTTTGCAAATTTTTTCGCAAAGGGATTAATTAATACACATCAGACTCAGTTTGCAAGGTTTCTGCACGTGACGAATTTTTAGGATAACGAATACGAAAAAACGCATACGAAAATTTCGGACTCAGAGACCTTTAGTCTGTATGAAATATGAATATTTCATAGTGAATGGCAAAATTATTTATGCTAAGTTATTTACTGTGCTGCTAAAACACATTGTTTTTTACACTAAAGTGTACAATCGACTATTTTATTTTTATTGTATTTTTTCTCAGACAGTGCATGGCGACTCTGAACTCTAATTTGCAGGCAGTTTGAAGTGATTTCCTCACTGCAGGTGGTCAGGACGGAGAATTTGACTCCTGATGTCTTTATTTCTTTCCTCTTTTCTTTAATCATCTTAATTATCCTGTTTCTCTTCTCTCTGCTTTCACCCATCCCTCTTTCTCTGTGTCTGGGAACGCTTAGATTCGGATAAACAGGGAAGTAAGTACTTGTCTTTCTCTTGTCTTCTGCCATCATCTGTCCATTTCTCATTTATTCCTGCTATCATGGCTCTGCGCTCAGACATTTTATTTCCCAAACCTTTCTTTTCAGTCTGTTGTTTGTGTTTACTGTAGCTTTGTTTGATCTCATTGCATCACTTCCTGTAAGCCACGGCCTTATCAGTTTAAGCTTTAAACACCCCCTGAAATGGTTTGACAAACGTTGTTTTTTTTTGTAAATATATATCTGCTGGAAACAAAATGTTGCAGCGGAGCATATCAATAGCCATTAGTGTACACATATACTGTAACTATATAATTTTAAAACTAGCAGACATGAACCAAAACCACTTTTGATTTCAAGGGGTCTTTAAAATCACTATCGGCTTCTGAAATCTAGTTTAAACCTCGTGTTGGACAAAAATGAAAGTCCACAAATTATACTTGGTCTTAGAACCTGGCCTAAAGCATTGCATACATAAGCATTTTTTTAAGGATATATGGGATATGTAGCAGATATATATCCATCTCATGTTTTACCATATATGATTAAATACCATGACGTTTTATGCCATTATGCTGCATGTTTTACATATGTTCTTCATTGAACAATGCGGTTTGATTAGAATAAACAATAAATAAACAATAAAATAATTACAAATATATGTTATTTCAAGATAGATAATTATATAAAATCCATAAAAATCAGTTTGGTTTCATCTTCAAAACAGCTTAATATGCTTTCTTTATGTTATTTAGAACGTCCATATCTTTATGTGATTTTCTTTGGAAACAAAAGGAAAGGGAAAATCAAGGGAATGAATGTCGAAATATTCAGTGTTGTAGCTTTATATCCCAAGGCTGTAGACAGAATACAGCTAGGAGGTCTGACATTTCTCTACATCTTTTCTTTACATTTTCTTTCTTCTGAAAGAGTTTTGTGCTCTCTCTTGTGTTCTTGTCACGTTGTCCTTGTGATTTTCTTCAGCCTTTTGCTGCCTTTCCTTTTGGTTATTTCCTCTCTTTTTCTCTTTTTTTCTCGGGGTTGAACAGATGAGTCTCTGTTAAATTGTCTGCATTGTTCCAGATTATTGTCTCTAGTTTAGCATGCTGTAGCGTCAGTGTAATCTGAGTGTGCAGTTAAAGTGCAAACTAGTCCTAATGTGCAGACGTCTTAGTTTCTATCAGGCTCATTGTCTATCATCATGTAAGAAATCCAAGTGGTTTCGAGTACATTAGCATTTACCAGAACTTTAACAAGAGTATTCTGACTGGTGAGTCTTTAGGTGGACTAAAGTTTTGGGTTTTGGATCATTATCCTGTCTGAAGGATGCATTTCAATCTTCAGGTTTTCTGTACATTTATTACATAAAACATTTCATTTTCTTCTTATATATATATATATATATATATATATATATATATTTTTATCCAAAGTTAAAAAAGGAAA